TGATATAGAGTCACTACTCCTCTGTGCTATACTGCCTTCCCTGTGACCCCCCCTACATTATGTGTGTTAATCATAATGCCTCGTGTCCTTTTTAAATTATCAAACCCTTATATTTGAACTTCTTATTAATCATGAATTTTTGGGATAAGCCTTAAAACAGATGTTGACAAACTAGTGTAATTAAGAGACCAAAGAAGCTGAAATCATTATGCTAGACCAGGCTAATACATACAGATCTTTTATCTGAGGACACCAAAGCCACTCCTTGATTTTACCCCAGAGTCATTCTTCTTGAAGTCACCAGATCTTGAGTTAGTGTGTCTCTCTGTTCTCCACTCCCATGTTATGGACATGTGCCTTCCTAGACTGTACTTGAAATTGGAAATAATATTATTCACCTTTCTATCACCAATGCCTACCCTAAAGCCAAGTACTCAGATGTCAGGTTATAAGACAAGTGAGGACAATTGGGTATCCGCATGCAAAATGATATACTTAGATTCCCCCTCACACCATACACAAAAATTGACTCAAATGGATCATAAACTTAAATGTAAGAGCCAAGTAAAAGAAAATACAGGAGAAAATCTTGGAAACCTTAAGTAAGGCAAACACTTTTTTAGATATGACACCAAAACACATTCCCTAAAAGAAAAAATTGATACAAAAGATACCATTAAGACAATAAAAAGACAAGCAACAGACAGAAAATATTTGTGAAACACTTATCTGATAAAGGACTTACATCTAAAATAAACAAAGAACTCTTACAACTCAATAATAAGAAGATAAATGAACCAATTTTTAAAAATGGGCAAAATACATGAGCTGATATTTCACTAAAGAAGATATGCTAATGGCTACTGACTAGTAAAGACATGAAAGATGTTCCATATCTTTAGTCATTAGGGAAATGCAAATTAAAACAAATAGGAGATGCCATTTCACACCCATAAGAACGGTTACAATAAATAAGGCAGACAATAAAAAGTGTTGGTGAGGATGTAGAGAACTGGGACCCCTCATATATTGATGGTGGGAATCTAAAATGGCACAGCCACTTTGAAAAACAACTTGGCAGTTTCTCAAAAAGCTAAACATAAAACTACCAAATGATGCAGCAATTCCACTCCCACATATCTACACAAGTAAAGTGAAAACATGTCTACACCAAGACTGGTATAGAAATGTTCATAGCAGTATTATCCATAATAGCCCCAAACTGGAAACAATATGAATGTCAATCAACTGATGAATGGATATACTAAATGTAGAATACCATTTGACAATAAAAAAGAAGTATTAACACCTGCTACATCACAGATGAACCCCAAAAGCAGTATGCAAAGAGAAAGAAGCCAGGCATAAGAGATATTAAAGATTTCATTTATATGAAGTGTCCAAAGAATGGCAAATTTATAGACATAAAATAGATAAGTAGTTGCCTGAGCCTGGAGTGGGAACCAAGATAACTATAAATGGGCATAAGGGAGTTTGTTGGGAGGATGAAAATGTTCTAAAACTGATCTATGGTTGCACCAATCACTAATGTTACTAATCATGATTGAATTGTACACTTGAAATGGATGAATTTTATAATATGCAAAATAAGTTTTTTTAAAACAAGTGAATGAATCATTGCCCTTATACCCCTTGAAAAGATCTTCATTGCATTTAGTATTCCCTTATACAGATAATACTGCCAATTTTCAGAGATTCTCTACTCTCGTTAAGATTTCTACCCTCTTCTACCCCCTCACCCCCCTTAAAAACTCTCTCAAAGCCCTTAGTACATTGTAGCATATTTGTCCTAGTCCATCAATCCACAGCAGAGAAACATGAGCCTTTTGATAGAGTTCATTCACTTTTTTATGGAGTCCTTATCTAGTCCAGGTACCTTGCCCTCAGAATCTGACAGTGTGACAAAAGAGAGAGAGGATTCACAAAAATAATGGCATATATGTTCTCAGGATGGCAAGATTCTACTGGATATGGATGGGGGGAAACCAAGGAAGTCTTTCTGTAAGAGGGATCATATGAATGAGATATTGCATAGCAGTCAGAATTCCTGCAGGTAGAGGTGAAACAGAACAAGAAAGACCTCCTTGACCAAAGCCAGTGGGTGAGGACATCTATTTTGAGTGCTCTGAGCTACAGATCTTTGTTCCTGATCTTGCTCTTCTCTTGCCAAACCATATTCACCTGCTCTTGGCTCTGTTATCATGCCTCACTACTCAAACTCAGGCAGACAAAGAGCAGAAACTGAATACATAATTGAGCTTTTATCTGAATCCTTTAATTTTTATCTCCACATCATCAATACATAATTGTGTCTTAGAAGGTATTATTTCACAAATGCTTTTTTTTTTCAATTTAAGCTTCTGGCACCCAGAGATAGTGTCACAGAAGGGAAGACTAGAAGAGCAGTAGGAAGGAAAGTCCTGTCCTTACATAAGCATTAAGGCTCTGGAAAAAGACACCTTCTTTAGTGATAAAAATGTCAGACACATGGATGTAATTTCCTGTGATAAATTGAATCAAAACCACTTATGTTTGGCCATGCATGGAAAATGAATCCTAGCTTTAGCGGGAAACCCACTGAACCAGAAGTTTGACCCTTAGAGAATCTATTGAATCACTGTATGGAAAAATATTACTCAATTTGCTTCTTTAATTCCAAAGCATTCTTGGATTTTGAGCAATGTATATAAGTAAAATGTTTCTGTTTCTGTCAGTATTTATGTTCTTTACTACTTATCATGCAATGAACAAATTCAGTCATTAGGCAAATACTTACAGAGTACCCACTAAATGCCAAGCACTGGGCCAACATTGATGAATGAGGATAAAGAAGGGTGAAAGATGTGTAAGAAGTTCACGTATAGTTCAGTGGTTATAAAAGTATATTTTATGGTCCATTTGCATCTGAATTACCTGAAAAGCTGTTAAAATGCAGATACCAGGGCCCCAAGTCAGCCCAAATGAATCAGAATCTCTGTGAGCAGTGCCCAGGAATATACATTTTTAACAAGCTCTACAGATGATTTAATGTACATTGAAGTTTGAGAACCATTGCTGTGCTGAGTCCTAGGTAGATTCACATCATAAACAGGTGTAACATAGTAGAATAATAGATGTCCTCATTAGGTTTAGTGGTAATTATGTGTCAGGATGCCCTGATATAGTTTTTCAGTACTAGTAACTTTTACACATGAGCTTCTCAAATAAGATTCTTCAAAGAAACTATTATAAAGTTATAGATATTATGAAAATAATTATCACTGTTAAAGGAAGGCACAAAGGAGGATGAGATTGACTCACCAGAGTCACAAAAACTATGGAAAAAATATTTGAGTTGGGCCTTAAGACAAGAGCTTTAAGCTGGGTCAGGATTTGTCTTAGGATTCTACCAGTATCACACCTAAGAATTGGACAAATCAAGCTGTTGCTAACACTGAAATCTAGCAAGTGTTGGTTTCTGCCATCTACTCCAGAGCCAGCAAAGTGATGCCTTGCAACCAGCCTGTTCCCATTCTTAGCTCATTTCTGCATCAAGGTCTTCCTTGGTGCATTAAATTGGTGTCACTTAGGTCACAAATCTGAACATTGACTATAGGGGAGACTGGGAAAAGTAATTTCTTGTTTTTGTTTTCATGCTACCTTGAAAAGGTGAAATTCACAATGCAGGGGATTATCAAAACATGGAATGGAAATTGATTTAAATATATGTAAACTGTTTGAAGGCACAGTAGAGGTTTAAGTTAATAATATTAACCCCAGGAAAGGACACACTCTTTCTTCTGTCAAGTAAATTGTGTGGGAACTGAGTCAATATAATATATAATAAAATCAAAATGATAAACAAAATCCATGGGGTAGAGAGTGTATTGTCCAGAGATTCTGAGCTATGATGTCATATGTCTGCCATACAGTCCATCTCCAGAGCCGAGGCTTTCAGCCACTCTGCTATACTGCTTCTTCCTGTGGCCAGGAGTAAGCTGTACTCTCAGATCTGGGTTATGCATGGAATGTAGGACGGTGTCTTAATCTTTTGGGTTGTTATAACAAGAATACCATAAACTGGGTAGCTTAAAAACAACAGAAATTTTATTTCTCAGAGTTCTCAAGGCTGAGAAGTCCAAAATCAAGGCAGCAGCAGATCTGGCATCTGGTAAGAGCCTACACCTCACATGGCTCAGGGATCTCTCTGTGATATCCTTTGTAAGTGCACTAATCCAAGGGAGTCCTCATGACCTAATCACCTCCCAAAGGCCCTGCCTACTAACACCATCATCCTGGCAATTAAGATTTCAATATATGAATTTTGAGGAGTCAACCATCAGTCCACTGCAGAAACAATTGGAATAGGAAGGGATAAGCACTTCACAGAGCATGTCCTGTCCTAACCCCCAAAGGGATTTAATATAACTGTTCCCAAAGCCACCTCCCCTTTTACCATCCCCATGCCTAAACAGTCTGAACTGGATCCTAGCAACAGTAGATGAGAGTACAAGAATCCACCCCTGGGCTAATGACATGAGACCAGAAGAAGCAGCTGAATCTGTTGATCAATTACTTCATAAATCAACAACAATCCAATATCAAGGATGCTAAGACCAAAATCTCATTTTTCACATATAAATTTCCACAGTACTCAGATGGAAAATACTAAATAATTCAATTGATCAACTAATATAATTATCTGAGGTAATATCTTAAAGATAACTTGTCAGGCTTGTCAGGCTATAGACCAGCTCAAATCAAAATGTTGTACATGATCCAAATTACAGTTCTATGCAAATCTGTATATAAAGGTCTATTGATTCTTATCAGTGGAATTTATCTTCTCTGCTTGTGATATGAAAATTAGGAATTCAACAGAATGCTTGTCCAAACACATGAGTAGATAAAACACCATGCAGGGAGGGATGAGTTCTGCTGAGGTCTGGAGGTTTGATTCTTATAAAAATATCAGCACCTACAAGTTTCAAAGTTCATACCTCAGTCCTCCCGACTTCAGCGACACATACTTCATTCTTCAACTCACATCAATTGTCTTGGTCAGGTTACTGACATCTGAAAAGCTGCTTCAAGGAATGGGATAACAGGAAAAGCTATGCACTTTTGCCCCTAGAAAAAAATGGTTTATTCATGGTCAGTATAAGAATCAACTATAGGAAGAATATTTCCAACTTTTTTTCAGCCATTTAGAAAATAGAGTCCAATGTGGTATTTAGTACTATGTTAAAATTCTCACAAAAGTTACTTTCTTCTTTGTAAAAATGTATAATCTTCGGATAGGTAAATAATTTTCCATTTATGACACAATGAAAGGGATATAGCAGGTGCAATTTTCATTTTTGTGTTATTTTCTAAGAACTCTGGAGCTAAACTTAGTGCTCAATTGCAATAACTACCTGTAGCTGTTTTTTTAGATGTAATTAACTTTTTTCTTTATTATTTCATTTATATTCTTTCAAAAGTGTTACTAATTTCAAAGTTTCAAATAACATGAAAGTCACTCACTTTAAATATAGACTTGGAGAGAAAAACAAATACCATATGATTTCACTTATATGTGGAATCTAAAAAAAACCAAAATAAACATATGAACCAGAAATAACACATAAACACAGAGAACACACTGGTAGTTACCATAGGGAAGGAGGACAAAAGGGATGGGTGAAATAGGTGAAGAGGGAAAAATATTAGAACACGTGGTATCTTGATCTGGGTGATGGTTACATGTGTATACACATGTCATAATTCATCAAGCTATATAAGACATGCATTTTATTGTATGTATCTTGATAAAAAAGAAAAAATTATAAGTGAAGAGTTTGATGATTTTTCACGACTGTATATAATCATGTAACCATCACCACAATCAAGTTATAGAATATTTTCATCACCCTAAAAAATTTCCTCTTTGTAGTTGATTCCCTCCATGCCTCAGGCAACCACTGTTCTTTCTTTTACTATAGTTTTACCTTTTCTAGAATTTGATATAAATAGAATCATACAGAATAGAATTTTGTGACTTCTTCCACTTAGGGTAAGATTTTTGAAATACACCCATGTTGTGTACCAGTATTCTGCTCCTTTTTTGCTGCCAAATAGAATTCTATAGTGTGGTTTTCATTTTCTTAATGTTATCTTTCACAAAGCAAAAGCTTTAAACTTTCATGAAGTCTATTTTGCTTATTGTTTTCATTTATGACCCATGTCTTTTATGACCTATTTAAGAAAACTGATTAACGCAGGTTTTTTCTCTACGTTTGAACTACTGACATTTTGGACTGGATAATTCTTTGTTGTAAGGGGCTGTCCTGTGTATTGTAGGTTGTTTATCAGCATACCTGGCCTCTACTCAGTAGATACCAATCACATGTTTACCCCCAAGTTGTGACCATCAAAAATGTCTCCAGGCATTGCCAGATGTCCCTTGAAGAACAAAATTGCCCCTGGTTGAGAACCAATGGCCTAATACAATGCCACAAAATTGTCTCCTTTTTTTTTAGACATGTTATAGCTTTAAACTTAAAACATGTCTTTTTAATTTCTGTGTAAGGTTAAGGTAAGGATCAAAGTTCATTTTTTCCATACAGATGTTCAGTTGTTCTAGCACTATTTGTTGAAAAGACGTTCCTTTCTTTCATTGGTTTACCTTGGGACTTTATTCAACAATCAATTGATCTTATAAATAGGCGTCTCTATTACTGAGCTCTCTATTGTGTTACATCTTTAAATATCCTTATGCCAATACCACACAATCTTGGTTACTGTAGCTTTATAATAAGTCATGAAATTAGGAAGTCTAGATACTTCATTCTCTTTCAAAATTATTTTAGCTATTCTAACTCCTTTATCTTTCCATACATTTTAGAAAAAGCTTGTCAATTTCTTATTTTATTTAATAACCTTTTTATTTTGGAATAATTTTTTATTTGCAGAGAAGTTGCAAAGATAGTATGGAGAGTCCTCATATACCCCCACCCAGCTTCTGATTCCCCTACTGCTACCATCTTACGTTACTGTGGCACACTTGTTAAAACTAAGAAGCTAACACAGACACATTGTTACTAACTAAACTGAAGACTTAATTTGGATTTCACCAGCTTTTCTGTGAATGTCCTCTCTTGGTTCCAGGATCCAATCTAGAATACCACAGTGCATTTACTCAGCATTTCTCCCCTCTCTCCTCTGGTCTGTGACAGTTTTCAGACTCCTTATTTCTCATGTACAAGCTTAATGGTCTTGAGAAGTACTGGTCAGGTATTGGTAAAATGTCCCCTAACTTGGTTTTTCTAAGGTTTTTCTCAATTAAACTGGGGTCATGGGTTTTAAGAAAAAATGCCACCCAGGTTACGTGTACTTCTCATCACATAATTTCAGGGGATACCTGTTGTACACATTGGCATCACTAATGATGTTAACCTTGGAGTCAGTTTCCTTTCTGAAATCCTGCTAGGATTTTTATTGGAATCGCAATGACACTACATACCCATTCTGGAAGAACTGCCATCTTAACAATATGTACTTTCCAATCCACAAATGTGGTTTATCTCTCTACTTTTTAAGTCACTTTAATCTCCCTCACCTCCTCCAGGCATGGGTTTCTCACCAGGATCTGTCAGCTACTTCCCACTTTTCCTGTACCTTCAAGTAGCTGGGTTTTATTGTTATTATTCACATATTCCAGAGTCAATAGCTGTTATCTTGAGAAGGTCAGTTCACTTAAGATTTAACTAAGCCATTACTGAAAGTAAAATCTAACATTGTTTCAAATACCTCCTAAAGGTAGACAGGGAAGAAATAGTTGGGAAATTTTATATTATTACCCTTAGAATACCCTAGAGTCACACTCATAATCAGTGCTAAGCCAACCTGAAATCGTAAAGTTCACCAATAATTAATAGACATATAGTATGTGATCATGAAACAGACCTCTTCTCTGTGTCAAATGAATTTGACTATATTAAATTGTGGCTTCACACTTGGTTAAAATTGCAAACCTCTTAAAGATCAAACATGGGAGAATCATTAAAATCTTAGTAAAATGATTCAGTGCTACCTATGCTGTTGTAGAGTGGACATAATTCTATAAAGTAATGAATTTTTAACAATAATATAGTTTGCTTAACTCCTGGAAAGAAAATGTACAAGAACCTTAAAATTATTCATATCTAGTAATTCTACTTCTGAGAGTATTCCATGGAAATAATACTAAATTGAATCAGAAGGAAGAGTGACCCTTATGTACAAATATTTTCACCAAACCATTATTTATAACATTAAAAAATTGACATTATTTAAATGTTAAGAAAAATATATTTATACAGCCATTTAAAAATGATGTTTATGAAAAGTCTTTAATAAACTATAATATTAAGCATATGTATATGCTGTAAGAAAAGATGAGCAGTTAATACCATAATCTTAATAGTGGCTAGTGGACTATAGATGTTTTCTTTGTCTTCTTCCTACTTGCTGTCTTTCAACAGTGATTTAAGAAAACAGTAAGATTGTTTTAAACCTTATAAAAATTTACCTTACTATTGAATTTCTGAGCTGGAAAAACCTTTAGGAAACTAGTTCACTCCCTATGCTTCATTGATAAGGAAATTTTTGTTGTATTCCAGCCTTCATTTCTAGGGCTCAGAAAATGAGCAAGTTCACATCACCAATATTTAATTGAAATAATTTTAAAATTATTCAGCAATACACCTCAAACAAACTTAATTCTAATATGAATTTTCTGGAACATGGAAAATTTAAGGAAGTTTACAGTTGTGTTTCCAGTGAATATTTCAAATACTGAATAAAAGTAGTTTTATTGTAGAATGTTTCCCAGGTTTGAGATTTAAGATGACTAACTGTGTCACATTTTATTTATTAAAAGCTCATTATTCACTTATTGGAGTTACTACTGGTACTTTGCAGTTGCCCAAACAGAAATGACAGGGTACAGTGTGATCTTACAAACCAGGACTTTGTGTTATGAACTGGTCCACCTTTACCGTTCAGATTTCATGAGCTAATGATATAATACCAGTATTGCTGGTAATTATCCACTAAATCATACATTGGACATAATGACCTTTCACTTGGTTTCAAAAATAGCCGAAACAATTTTTCTTTTTAAATCTTTCTAAGTAGAAAAACAAAATATTTTTAGTCTAACATTTCATACCACTGGAAGATGATCCAAAGGGAATGATAAAGGTTAGTAGAGTATTTATCTTATCAAAAGTGGTCTGTTTGGGTTACTGTTTGGATTCCAGCTAATCAGGCCTATTTACTAGTTTTAAGAACTTTCAGCGATTAACAGTGTGCAAATAGCACCAATCTGCTATGTTATTTCAGCTGGGAGAGCAGCTATAGGAACCAATACAGCTTCCTTACTGAAAATAAATGATAGCAACTTTCTACTCATTGGGGAATGAGTTTTTAGGTATGTCACACTGTCACACTGCATAACAAAACAAAAGAGTGTGAAACATCTAAATAATTAAAAACCCAGAAGAATGCCATGTTTTGGGTTTTACAAAAATAATAAAGTAACTTTGCCAACAAAAACAGCACAGCAGGAAGACAAAACAAATATAAAGGGATAAGAGGTAGACTGCTGTCCCTTTTCCATCAAGAACCACCCCCTTCCTTGTTTTTAAGACTGCGTGATTATATTAGCAATTTTTAACACAGGGTAGCTCAAATCAACAATACATTTGCTCTTCAGACTTTGACACTTCCCCAGCTGCTAGGCCTGTGTTTAACCAAACAAGTACAGTCAGGCAAGTGGAACATTTATGTAACACAGAAACTATAAATGTTCTTTGAGAAACAGAGGCCTACTCATCTTAGAAGATATGACAAAGGGATAGAAGCACTACATTTGAAAACAGATTTAAAACACCAATGAGGGATAGTTTACTCTTATTGTAGTTAAAAGTATCACATCATTTGTTTGCTGACAATAAAATATCTTCTTTTCACTAAACAACTTTTTTAAATTCACTGAGCATTTATCTGGCATTAGACTCTAGTAAGGACTTTACATGTATTCTTTCATTTAATCCTTGCAACAATCCTGAAGTAGCGATACTAACATTTATCTTCATTGCAGGTGG